TGATATTTTAAATTTCTTACTAATATTAAACTTAAATTACTTTTTTTATCTACAGTTAGACCTTATTATAGTCACTCTTGATATAGTCACAACCTTGTTATAATTACACTATTTCTTAATCCTAGATATTATAAAATATATAAAATTTAACCTTTATTTAGTTACACTTTTTTATAATCATCAAATACTTGTTTCTGAACTTGGTAATTATATCAAGGTTTAATTGTATTAAACTTCTATAGTTATATAATAAAAATTTAAGCTATTTAAAGAGTTGTAAATAAATAATTTATCTGGGGAATTTCTAGGCATCTCTGACAATTTTCTACAAAAAACTTATAATGTTGTTGGACTTATTTTAGGACAATGATACATGTCTAAAGATATGTGCTGCATCTTAATTACATTATTTTCTGAACACAGAATATTTAACTTTCCAGCATCTCTTGGGATACAATTTTTGAAAAAGTTCGAACATGTAATAGATTACTGAGCAATGTGTCATGTTTTGGAGTTAATTTGAGTTACAGTCGGTGTTTCACTATGTCAATATGTTAAAAATAAAGAAATAACTATGAGTAATATTTTGAGTGATAATAATGATTTAGTAAAAGTATGGCTTCTCTTCTTTCATTAGATGTGATATTTTATAAGTTACAAAATCAGAATTAGGAGAGGAAATTATAGAATGCAAATAGCAAATTTAGCTGCATTTGTACCTCTCTTTCCTGCAGCTGGAAAGTTTAAGTATACAAATGCTGTAGCACATTTCTTGGCCTGAATCCATAATAATCTACAACTACAAAAATTATTACAAACAATATGCTCAGTTAATCTTACTAATGAGCAGACTATAATGTCAAAAATCTAAGACTTTGTTGTATTATTTTGTAAATAAGTTAATAATTGTATTGATAATATTAATTGTCTGGAGCAAAATGTAAGATTCACATCAGTCCAGAGTGAAAAAGATCATTTATTAATACTTCTTGCAAAATATATTGATAACATTGTGATGATTCAAAATGATTGTGCAATCAAGTCATGCAAAGACTTACTCTGGTCTCTAATTTCAAAATTATTATCAGCTTTTAATTGTTTACATTCTGAAACACATATTTTGTTTGAAGGTGTACCAGAAATTAGTAAAGTGGATATCAAAAGAATTTATTTTCTTTATGAAACTAGTAAATTATGCTTTAAGCAAGTACTTGAACAAGATATATACAAAACCAAACCTCAAATAACTTCTAGATGTTGTTTGCGAAATATAAATAACTATAGTTATATCTAATTCAAAAACATGAAAAAACAAAAAAGTAATCTTATAGTAATACCTACTCAATTATCAATTGTTCAACAAAAAACTTCAATTTCACAGCAGATGTTATCATCTGAACTTTCAAAATAGACACATCATACTACTACAGAAGAAGAAAGAAATATACTTTCTTTATTGTTTGTATCTAAAGAACAATTAACTGAAGCTAAAATTGTGAATGTTTTGCTGGAACTTGAAAAAGTCTCTTTGAATTGAAATGCTGAAAAAGTCAAACAATACTACAATAATAATAAGCGCAAAAAGCTTTAAGTAAAGTGGTATTAAAAAGCATAATTAGAGCACAAATAGTTTTTTTTACCAAAATCTAGAAATTCAACTAGATGTTAACAAATCTTTTCACTAATCTGTAATTCGTTCATCTATAAAATCTAAAAAAATAAATATTACAACAAATTTTTTATTAAATTTAGATTATTTGTTCATTATTTTTTTAATAAAATATATTTCTCTTAATTTTAACAAAGACTGTAAAGTAAAAAAAAAGCTACAACTGATCTTATATTAATTCTAATTCTATTATATGAAAAAGCACCTTTTAGTAAATATTTAGATATTATAAGTAAAGTGTCTTTATTTTAATAATTAAACTGGTAGTGCTTCTTATTTACTACTGTAACAAAAAAAATTAAGTCTGTATAAGTGGTAATTAGATGAAAATCTTGAACTTTGGAGTAGAAAATTGCAAATTTCACACCTGATTTTATTTTATATAAATTAAATAAAAGTATTTTTTCTTTATATAAAAAGAAAGCACAAATCTCAAAGAATAACTATGTCTAAGATCTAAGTATTAATTACAGCTTTATCATCAAGATACTCTTTAATAAAGTTACAATGATCTAGATTACACAAATAAAAATCATCAAATAGGACATGTCCTATAACTGATACAGTAACTGCTATAACAAGAAAATCAAATATTTGTTTCTCAATATAGTGTAATGTAACAAGTTAGACTTTTGGTTAACAAGTTACTTTATTTGACTAAGTGCTTGAACAGTTAAGAAATATGTTTATAATAATTTATAAAAGAAAACAGTTTATTGCTACGTAATCGACTAATTGTAAACTTTAATTATAATTACTAGCGCTAGTCAATTAGTTAACTATATATATACGTAGTCGATTATCCGATTAGTCGATTAGTTGACTAGTCGATTAGTCGATCGACTGATTGTAAAAAAATTTAGTCGATTAGTCGACTAACAGTACTAATAGTCGACTAGTCGACTAAAAACATTCGTCTAATACAATATATACTAAGAATTGAAATAACTTCAAAGCTTGCAGTTAATAAATATCAAAAGAATTAGCTAATTTCATTTATGCAAAGGGTGGGTGAAAGTGATATTTATTATTCATAAACCCAACTTATTAATGCAATGTTAATTTCATCTGCCATAGTTAGATACTGTTGGGTAAATAGATGTACTCATATCTTATGCTATAACGACACTAAAACGTAAATCACACATTTTAATTGACTATTAAGCTATAACGGTAATTTTTCTCCAAGACAATTCTTAAAATATTGATTTTTGTACATAGATATGGTTTCCAAGGCCAACATGTGTTCACTGTGTGGTTCATAGTAGGTATCGTATCTAAAAAAAAAAAAATACGTAAACTATTAGTAAACAGAGCGGCAAATTGGTCCTTAACAATATATATAGTAACATACCCTTCACATTCAATCCAACGATGACCTTCCGTTTCTTTTAATTCGCCAGTGACTGTTATCAGAGTTCCAGGAGATAATTTATCAATGTCAAATCGCTTATGCAAAGTAGGACCAAGGTTAACACGGCAAGTTGCAGTTGCGTCATCTGACAATAAACCAATAACATTATTTAAATCTTGGTTTTGGCAATAAAATATCAATGCGTAGTTCGCGTAAACAATTCGAGCGATATGGTAAATTGATGATAAAAAAGAAAATATACCGATAATAAGCATTTCCGGATTTCTTTTTGTGATCACACCGTGGACTCTATATGATAGTATATTTCGTGTTGCTCATTAAACAAAGATTTTTAGATCTCGCGTCAATATGTACAGTACCTAACTCTCAAAAATTCAAACTTAGGTATTCCAAATGTATACATGTTATCAAGTTTTTTACAGCGTTTTTGTATATCACAGAGAAAAAGTCGCACATGAACGTTGGGATCGTAATTAGACATTGAAATTAAAACTAAACCAAGAAGAAACGCGACTTTATCAGTTATTAGTAAAAATTCTACGGACAGTAGGGTAGATCACGCATTGTTCGTAGCGGTGAAATTTTATACGTACCGTAAAACGCCGTATAAGGTACCCCCCTTGATTTGTGCCCCCCTTGATTTGTACCGGGTATGTTTCAAGGTTATTTGTTGTGGTGTTTTGTAAGAGACCCGGGTATAAATCAAG